TCAGAGCCAACTCATGCCCTAAAAATAAAAACCAGCACCTCCAATAACAAAAGCATACATCAAGTGCCTTTCTGGGGTGAGCATTCACATATTTGTTGATGGTTTCTCTAGTTCATCTCTTAAAGACCCCAGCAACAAAGATAACAGCAACAGCAGCCAACACTGAACAAGTATGTTCCCTGAAGGGTGCTAAGAGCTTTCCCTGCATCCTTTCATTTTGTCCTCACCACAGCCAACAAAGGGGACAGGGCCAAGATCCCTTACCCTGCAATCCACAGTCCAAAAAGGTCTGCAAACCAAGTATTCTCCTTGAATGTGGAACAACCCTCATTTGGGGGCAGAAAATACCTGTGAGGACAATTACGGTCTTTCTTTACCCCACATCCTGGTGTGGGGGTTGTGGAATGTCCTCTCAAGCTAGAATTTTGCAAAAATGACTGAATATGACTTCTGAGACTTCCATCTTGTTCTCCCTTAGATCATTCACTCAAGGGAAAGCTAGCCACCATTTTGTGCCAGTGGTTCTCAACCTTCCTAATGCTTCGACCCTTTAATACAGTTCCTCATGTTGTGGTGACCCCCAACCATAAAATTATTTTTGTTGCTACTTCATAACTGTAATGTTGCTACTGTTATGAATCGTAATGTAAATATCTGATATGCAGGATGTATTTTCATTGTTCGCGACCCACAGGTTGAGAACCGCTGCTAGTAGGACTGTGGAGAGGTCCACCTGGTGAGGAAGCAACAGCCGGCATCAACCTAAGCAGCCATGAGAGTTTAAGTCGCCTGGGAGGTGAGTCCTTCCAGCACAGTCAAGCCTTGAGACGACTACAGTCCAGACTAACATAAAAAATGTAACCTCATGAGATCCCAAGCCAGAACCATCCAGCGAAACTATTTGTGTATTCCTCACACACAATAACTGTGAGATAATAAAGGTTCCTATTAGAAAAATGGTATCATGTAAGACCTGATTCTGGATTTTTCTACCCTATGTTTCCATTGCTTTCATCTTTCCTCTCAGTGCCAGAGATGAAGACTCCTTTCCCAAGTACACACAAACTAAGTTCAAAACCTGGACAAGTTATCAGAAAGATAAATTATTTTAATCACATTCTATAAGTAAGAGGGGTAACATTTGCTTAGGCCTCCAGAACTTCTCCTTAAGGGCAAAATAGTTGTCTGAGATATGATTAAAATGCCTTTGACTTTAGCGGTCAGCTTTTTAAAAGTGAAAAACATAAAGCTATTGTGGTATTCAGCTGATGAAGAGCAAGGAAAAACTAATAATTCCTCATTAGCTTCACTAGCTCAGCACCCACTCAAACAGAATCAGAGCCTCCGAGATCCGGAGGTAAAATTCAGATGTGGCCATTAGTGACCTCTACAACTCAGTGTCCTTGTCTGCAAACGTCAATGCTCCGTTGTTAAGTTCCCCACAGCACCTAATCACTCATGTTCTGTTTCTTCAGCAGTCTTGACCCTAACCACACAGAACTGTCTTCCAGGTCACAATGAGATTTAGTGGAAAAGATTACATCTAAATTACAGAGATGTCAGTAACAACCCTACTGACTTTCCTCCTGAACCAGGAAAGCTACCGAAATGCCAGGGCAGGGTCGCCCAATCCTGGCATCGCTGATTTCCAAGCCTTTCAGCTGATGAAGACCAAGGAAAAACTAATAATTCCTCAGTAGCTTCACTAGCTCAGCACCCACTCAAACACAGAATCAGAGCCTCCGAGATCTGGAGGTAAAATTCAGATGTGGCCATTAGTGACCTCTCCAACTCCGTGTCCTTGTCTACAAATGTCAATGCTCCGTTGTTAAGTTCCCCACAGCACCTAATCACTCATGTTCTGTTTCTTTAGCAGTCTTGACCCTAACCACACAGAACTGTCTTCCAGGTCACAATAAGATTTAGTGGAAAAGATTACATCTAAATTACGGAGATGTCAGTAACAACCCTATTGACTTTCCTCCTGAACCAGGAAAGCTACCGAAATGCCAGGGCAGGGTCACCCAATCCTGGCATCGCTGATTTCCAAGCCAGCTAATGCGGTGTGGCGGGGCCCATCGTGGGTACTGCACGATGCTTAGCAGCACTCCTGGTCTCCATACACCGGATGACAGGAGCACCCCTCCCATCAGACATGACAACCAAAAACAAACCAGATGCTGCCAAATGTCCCCTGGGCAGTAGAATCGGCCCTGGATGAGAACCGCTGGGCCAAGGGGTGGCTGCTTGGGGTTCTTGCCAAGCTCCTGGCCTGGGTGCCAGAGGAGGGAGGCCCGGCAACACCTCCTTGCCAGGCCAACATAAAGCAGCCTACAAAGGAGCCCCAGAGGCTCAGGTTCCATTCTTAGCCCCCAACGTTCCACAGCAGAATGCTGGTTACCAGGCAACCACACTGCTCAGCCTAATACTCCCCTCCAAGGGGGAGGCCTAGTCCAGGGCTCCTGGTTGAGCGGCCTCGGTGGTTACCACCAGGACACACCAGCTGTCCAGTTCATCCACGGATGTACAATTGCCATGCAAGCGCATCACAGCCCCCCATCTGAACTCAGCATCCACCCTCCCTTTTGCTCAAGGCCCACTGGCCTCCCTGGCAGAACATCTAAGGAAACAAGCATCTCCTAGCGGCTAGGACCTAGCCCCTGGGCCAGATATTCTTAATTCCCGTCCTCTATTCTTGCTTCTGCTCAAATGTCACCTCTTTAGCGGTCTCCAAGCACCCCACCTAATGGAACAACTCCCCGGGGTACTGCCCACCCCAGAATATCGCCCACATCCATTTGTTCGCTTGGGGTGGTCTGCCCCGCCCTGTAAGCTGCCTGAGGAATTCCTGCCGTATTCCAGCTGCCTATTCAGCACCTGACACGATGGCCCGTCCCCGTCCCTCCCCACCCGGCCTGACTCCCGACCCTGCCGGGCTCACCTGTGTAGCTCATGGCTGCGGCGTACACTGCGCCTGAAAACCCGGCAGATGCGCCGCACGTCAGACGCGGAGATTGCCGTGACAATCCCCCGGGCTCTTTCTACATATAACGGAGCCCCGCCTCCCGACCGCATTGGCTCACGCCCGGCTCCGACTTCACGTCTATTAGGCCACGATACTGTCTATTTCAGGGTATCCTCATACCAATGGCTGAGGCTGTTGCCAATCTCAGGAGAGCCCCGCCCTGCTCCCGCCTTTAGTTATTTCAAGCCTGCGGTGATTGGTTAAAAATAACCTGTAGAGTTCGAAGGGGCGGAGCTATGCGCTACGGAAAGCCCGTGGCTCAAGGGCGGCCGGGTCGGGGGAGGGTCTGTGACCTGGAGGCCCGCCAGAGGGAGCTGGGTTTACAGCGAAGGGCACCGCTGGAATTGCGGCTCTCCCGCCGGGGTGCTGTGCCAACAGGGGCCGTTTCTAACATCTCTGGCCTTCAGCTCCAAAATGAGCACGGTAAAGCCATATTGGAACGAAAATTACAACTAAGCGCCAAACGAGATGCTGGGCACAGGTTCAAATATATATATATAAAGCAGTCACTCCAGTGCTGGGTGTACAAGTTGTTACGTTTTGTTATCAATGGTTACATAAAAATAACAAATATATTTATATAACATGTTTATATTATATATGTAATAAATGTTTGTAATTTATTATCTGGAATGTTTCCTCACACCTGCAAAGACCTTGTTTTTTTGAATTCTCATTTAAAAGAAGAAAACAGAGACTTGGAATTCATGACTTGCTCAAAGTCCTTGATGCTTAAGTGTTAAAGCTGGAGTGACCCACTAAAATCTTCTTGGTCCTTCTGGACTTTAGATCCTGCAGTGGCCCAGCCAGGTTCCAGCCCTGTCCTCAGCACCCTGAATGGACATGTGCAATCCAGCGTCAGAGGCATCTCATGACTTCTAAGACATTACTTGGCAGAGCTGCAGACACTTAAAATGGTACTTAACATGTTTGTGAAAATTCATCAAGCTACACAAGTATGACTTGTACACTTTTCTGTCATAATTCATATGGGGAAGAAGGGGTGAAGAGTTTATAACTGAAGAGATTGGTCATGAGTTAATAATCGATGAGTAGTTGAGGGCTCATTGTAGGTTTGGAATTCTCCATAAAATTTTAGCGAAACAACTCCTCCCACACACATACACAAATGGGGCTTCTGCAGAACTTGCTGTCATGTGGGGCAAGAAACTCCTTATGTAAAGCATGTGAAACTCTGATCAATGTGCATTCCAGCTTTGGGACTCGGCTTATTTGTGTCACCCTCAGGGATACCTGCCTGCCTGTCCTCCAAAGCAGTCCCCTGGACACTTCTCCTTCATAGCACATACCACAGCCGTCATTTTATCCTCACTTGATGATTTTGTTAATAAATTCAACCCTCTACCTCAGAGTGAGTCGAAATGACTTAAGGGATGTGCTCAGAAGTTTTAGGAAAAGATCCCTCTGTGGTAAGAACTATATGTGACCCATCCAAGTACTCACACAGCTATCCCTCCACAACTGTGGGTGAGAAAGGTCTTCCCATATTACTTTGCAAGTTCTTCCATCGTTTGAACTTTTTTTATATTCAGCTTATATCACTTTTATACTTTTTAAACTAATTTGTAAAAAAAAAATTAAAAAGTGCCTTTAGGTCAGCTCTCATCCAAGAGATACCCTCCCTGTTTCCAAAGCCTCAGATACACCCACCCACACTCGGGATAGACAGCAGTGGTGGAACCCTTCCTCCACCAGGCAAGGCATGTGTCCTGACCACAAGCAGAAAAGTCAAGCATGAAGGACAAGACCGCTCCTGTGGGCATGTTGCCATAGCTTCTTTGCCCCTTTCCCAGCCAGGTACATGGTGCGGGCTGGGGTAAAAGGGTTGGAGGCTGAAGAGGCTTCTTCTGTCTATACCCCATGAGGTCATTCCTGCTTTCCAGCCCTTGGCCATGAGTGAAAACGATGAGCTGAAAAACCACATGCAATAAACAAGAAGGAGCAGCCAACAAAATATCTTAAAATCTCAGAAATGTTCAATAAACATTTGCAGAGTGAGAAAATAAATAACATTGCAGAGGAGCCAACAGCTCGCTTTCTCCTTGTTACTGGGGTTCAGGGTGCATGTGTATCTCCCGACAGGTCGCATGTCTTGAAGGCAGGCCAGTCCCAGCTAAGAGGTCCTGACAGCTGTGCACTCCTCCCTCCCCCAGTGTCCCCCACACCCTCGATGGTCAGCTCCTGACTCCAAGAGCCCTTGGGCCTCAATCACTTCTCCATCCTGGCTCCCTTCCTGGACCAGCTGCCCAGAGCCGTTTCCTCTCCTCTGCACATAGGAGCCTCGTCACCAGCTGGCCAGAGTCCACACCGGCCATGCCATTGAGGGCCAACAAGCTGGGAACTTGAGCTCATCCCCAGCTGGGTCTGGTTGGTTTGGTGGCCAAAGGGAAAACCCAGGACCTCCTGAGACTCTGGGTGGAGGCGGCTTGATCCCAGCCCCAGGTGCCAGCTGATGCCAGCCTGTCCACTTGACAGAAAAACACACGCTGGCCGCCTGCCCCGGGGTATTTCCAGAAGAGAAATTTAATCTAATTTACATACTTCTAGGTACATTGATAACCAAAATGTGGCCACTGAAAAAAGTTAAAAGATTGATCAGCTCCCAGTTTCTAGCTGGCCCAGGATCGCAAAATAAAAAGATCCACGTTCCTTATTCTCTACACAAAATGCGTTTTTAAAAAAGTGAAAGGTCTAAGGAGCTGTACATAGAAAGGAACAGTGAAAAGAGGGAGGGGATAGGAGTGGGGAGGAAAGTCCCACCCCACCCCTTCCAGGGCCCAGAGCCCCCAGAGGTTCTGGGGGGCCTGGACATGGCAGGAGGCAGCTGTCAGCTCTGAGCTCTTCCCAGCTGGGAAGGCCCCTCTGGGGGAGGGGGGGCGGCCAACAAGGATTTCCGTGGCATTGTGGGCTCAGTGGGGGCTCCCAGGCCTCAGTGGGCCCGCAGAGGGAGCGTACCTTCCCCTGAGCAAGCACCGTGGCATGATGTGTTCGTTTGACTTGGGAACTGGGGGGCTGGGGCAGATCCCGGGTCTCACGAGGTGTGTGCGTGCGTGCGTGCGTGTGTGTGTGTCCGCATGTGCGTGTGTGATAGGATATTCACGGGGCAAGAGGGAACCAGTACAGGGTGTCTTTGGGGTCCTTGTAAATGGCCACAGATGGCAAACAAAGCCCCACCTGGCTGCTAGACATTGGGGAGTGCTGGCCTTCCTCCCATGACCAGATCACCTGCCACCAGGGACCTGGCCGCTGCCCTGGCTGGATTGGGTAGGTGTGGCCTGAAGGAACACACCCTGGGTTTGGCCCCAGAGTCCTTGAGCTGGGGGAGGGGCGCCCTGGCTGTAGTGTGCCCGGCCCCCAAGGGTGCCGGTTTGAGGTTTTGGCTTGCTCCTTTGGGAACGGAAAAGAAAGAAGGAAGAGAGAGAGGAGGAGACCAAGGAGGAGTAGGAGACAGAGGTGGCACGAGAGAGATCTGGAATGCTTTTGTGTTAGGGTGCCTCTGCCGCCGCTGTCTGTGCTGGAGGGGCCTGGGGCTCCTCGGGCGGGGGGTCTGCTTTGGAGAAATTCATCTCCAGGATGTGCCGCTGTAAGTGCCGCACCCACTCCTCCTGGATGGAGAGAGGTCCCTGGAATTCCACCTCACAGAACCTGTGTGGGGGACAGAGAGAGGGAGGAGTGGCCAGTGCCCTGGCTATACCCTGAGTGTCCAACAAACCTGATGTTGCTCAATGTGGACAGAACCAGCTCAGGATTTGAGGGAAGGGAGCCCAGAAGCCAGATGTTCCCCAATGGACAGCTATCTCTACCCATCACAGGGTATTGGCCAGGTCCCCCGGAGCCCCATTTCTATGCTCAGGGCAGTCTGCTGGCTCAGGTGCTGGGTAGGGGTCATCTGGCTTTCCAAGCACCTCCACCATCTGACAGTAGGCATGTGCCCTGATTGGAGAGAGCAAAGAAACAGATCCTTCCCTGCCAGGCTCTAGGAGAGAAGGATGAAGCTAGGGAAAGGAGGGTCAGACACTAACAAGCACCTACCCTGCTCATGCACCCTTCCCCAGCTCCCAGCCCTCACAGCCCTAAGGAAGGTCTCACAGCACATGGGCCCGAAACTCAAACTAGTGGCTGGAGAGACTTAGGTTTGAATCTTACTTCTGACTTGGCCTGTGTGGCCTGAGGAAGCCCTCTCACATCCCAGACTCCCAGTTTCCTGGCCTCTGACACTCACCTAGACTTTGGTATTAATAAACTAAGACCTATTTTTTCTTAATCAGGAAGACACTTTTTTGAGAGTTTACTGTGTTCTAGGCACAGTCTGAGGGCTTTATAAACATTCAACTCTTTTAATCCTCATAACAAATCAATCAGGTAGGTCTGCTATTAACCCCATTGTATAGGAGGGAATATTGAGGCATGGAGCAGAAAGTCCTCGCCCAAGGTCACTAAGCTGCTAGGTGTCAGGGTCCCAGCCTCATGCTCTGGGGCATCTCTGTCTGTGAGGAGCCGTTAGCCTGGACCCAGCCCACCCCAGGGCATTGTTGAGGTTCCCTCCCAGCCCTGAGCAGCTCCTGTCCTGTTCAGAGGCTCTGGATGGCCAAGCCCAGGCAGGTAGCCCCCCACCTCCCCTCCCTCTCCCAAGGGCCTCATACCTGCACTTGAGGGTATAGATGTTGCCGACGAACTTAACCAGTGATGTCTGGGGGGGACGAGGCACCAAGGAGGGGACTGGCCGGACCCGGGGTGGGGGTTGCCGCACCTCCTCCAGCTTCTGCTGCAGGTCATTGGGCTCCTCGCCCCCCCTGGCCGCAGAAGTATCTGCAGGGCGGCCTTGTCAGCGCTCAAATTTGTTGATATTCTGCTGTTGGTGCTCCTCTGCTTTCACAGTGCCTGGTGGGCTGGCTGCCAAAGACCGCTCACCACTGTCGGCTGCCCGGCCAGCCTCTGGCCCTGGCTCACCCCCAGCACTGCGGCCCACCACGGACAGGCCCCCAGGTGCCAGCCCCAGGTGTGGCCGCTTGTCGCTCTCGCGGCCATGGCCAGCGTTTCGGAACTTCTTGGTGAAGGGGCGGCCACCCTGGATGTAGCTGCGGTAGGCGCCCACCTTCTGGGGCCGGTGCTTGATCCACTCGCTCAGCGTCTCAATGGGTGAGCCATTCACGCACCACTCAGTCACACCGAACTGCCGCAGATGCGCCCGAGCATGGCTGGCCAGGGCCTTGCGGTTTTCGAAGTAAAGGCCACACAGCTCACAGCAGGCCTCGGTGGCTGCAGACAGAGGGGGCGCTGCTGAGCCCCAGAACCAAGGGAGCAAGGGTACCCAGAAGTTGCCGCCCAGGTCGGGAGACAGCCCCGCCTCCCACTGGGGCCTTGACCCCTGCTGGGGGTGGGCATGCGTGTGGCAGTGCCCGGCCATGCAGGCCCTGGCAGATGCCCTCCCAAGACCCTGCCACCCACTGCTTACAGGAGTGGGAGGTCTTCTCGTGAAGGGTCTTTGCCTTGAAGGGCAGTTCAGTCTGGATGTAGGTCTTGGCCTTGACCTCTGCAGAGAGGAAGCGATCCTCCTGCAGGGGTCGCTTGGCTGCCACTGAGCCCAGGTAGCTGGTGGCTGAGGGCTTGGCACCGGTGATGGGTGCCAGGTTGAGCTCACGGGGTACCTGGGCCAGCCCAGCTCCTGGTTTGCCTGGCCGGCCAGCCATTGGCACCAGCGGCAGGAGGGGCTGCACAGACCCAGGAACCGCTGTAGGGGGCCCATCCTCAACCAAGGCAGGGGCCAGGTCTCCAGCTGGAGGCTCCTTCTTGATGAGGCACGGCTTAGACTTCTTCTTAAGGATCTCCCGAAGCGTGTCGATGGGTGAGCCATTGACGGACCACTCAGTCACACCCATCTGTCGCAGGTGGGAGCGTGCGTGGCTGGACAGGCCTTTTCGGTTCTCAAAGAACTCACCACAGAACTCACAGCGGATGTCACGCACTGGCTCTGCCCGTGATGCTGAATGGGTTAAAAATAACCTGTAGAGTTCGAAGGGGCGGAGCTATGCGCTACGGAAAGCCCGTGGCTCAAGGGCGGCCGGGTCGGGGGAGGGTCTGTGACCTGGAGGCCCGCCAGAGGGAGCTGGGTTTACAGCGAAGGGCACCGCTGGAATTGCGGCTCTCCCGCCGGGGTGCTGTGCCAACAGGGGCCGTTTCTAACATCTCTGGCCTTCAGCTCCAAAATGAGCACGGTAAAGCCATATTGGAACGAAAATTACAACTAAGCGCCAAACGAGATGCTGGGCACAGGTTCAAATATATATATATAAAGCAGTCACTCCAGTGCTGGGTGTACAAGTTGTTACGTTTTGTTATCAATGGTTACATAAAAATAACAAATATATTTATATAACATGTTTATATTATATATGTAATAAATGTTTGTAATTTATTATCTGGAATGTTTCCTCACACCTGCAAAGACCTTGTTTTTTTGAATTCTCATTTAAAAGAAGAAAACAGAGACTTGGAATTCATGACTTGCTCAAAGTCCTTGATGCTTAAGTGTTAAAGCTGGAGTGACCCACTAAAATCTTCTTGGTCCTTCTGGACTTTAGATCCTGCAGTGGCCCAGCCAGGTTCCAGCCCTGTCCTCAGCACCCTGAATGGACATGTGCAATCCAGCGTCAGAGGCATCTCATGACTTCTAAGACATTACTTGGCAGAGCTGCAGACACTTAAAATGGTACTTAACATGTTTGTGAAAATTCATCAAGCTACACAAGTATGACTTGTACACTTTTCTGTCATAATTCATATGGGGAAGAAGGGGTGAAGAGTTTATAACTGAAGAGATTGGTCATGAGTTAATAATCGATGAGTAGTTGAGGGCTCATTGTAGGTTTGGAATTCTCCATAAAATTTTAGCGAAACAACTCCTCCCACACACATACACAAATGGGGCTTCTGCAGAACTTGCTGTCATGTGGGGCAAGAAACTCCTTATGTAAAGCATGTGAAACTCTGATCAATGTGCATTCCAGCTTTGGGACTCGGCTTATTTGTGTCACCCTCAGGGATACCTGCCTGCCTGTCCTCCAAAGCAGTCCCCTGGACACTTCTCCTTCATAGCACATACCACAGCCGTCATTTTATCCTCACTTGATGATTTTGTTAATAAATTCAACCCTCTACCTCAGAGTGAGTCGAAATGACTTAAGGGATGTGCTCAGAAGTTTTAGGAAAAGATCCCTCTGTGGTAAGAACTATATGTGACCCATCCAAGTACTCACACAGCTATCCCTCCACAATTGTGGGTGAGAAAGGTTTTCCCATATTACTTTGCAAGTTCTTCCATCGTTTGAACTTTTTTTATATTCAGCTTATATCACTTTTATACTTTTTAAACTAATTTGTAAAAAAAATTAAAAAGTGCCTTTAGGTCAGCTCTCATCCAAGAGATACCCTCCCTGTTTCCAAAGCCTCAGATACACCCACCCACACTCGGGATAGACAGCAGTGGTGGAACCCTTCCTCCACCAGGCAAGGCATGTGTCCTGACCACAAGCAGAAAAGTCAAGCATGAAGGACAAGACCGCTCCTGTGGGCATGTTGCCATAGCTTCTTTGCCCCTTTCCCAGCCAGGTACATGGTGCGGGCTGGGGTAAAAGGGTTGGAGGCTGAAGAGGCTTCTTCTGTCTATACCCCATGAGGTCATTCCTGCTTTCCAGCCCTTGGCCATGAGTGAAAACGATGAGCTGAAAAACCACATGCAATAAACAAGAAGGAGCAGCCAACAAAATATCTTAAAATCTCAGAAATGTTCAATAAACATTTGCAGAGTGAGAAAATAAATAACATTGCAGAGGAGCCAACAGCTCGCTTTCTCCTTGTTACTGGGGTTCAGGGTGCATGTGTATCTCCCGACAGGTCGCATGTCTTGAAGGCAGGCCAGTCCCAGCTAAGAGGTCCTGACAGCTGTGCACTCCTCCCTCCCCCAGTGTCCCCCATACCCTCTATGGTTAGCTCCTGACTCCAAGAGCCCTTGGGGCTCAATCACTTCTCCATCCTGGCTCCCTTCCTGGACCAGCTGCCCAGAGCCGTTTCCTCTCCTCTGCACATAGGAGCCTCGTCACCAGCTGGCCAGAGTCCACACCGGCCATGCCATTGAGGGCCAACAAGCTGGGAACTTGAGCTCATCCCCAGCTGGGTCTGGTTGGTTTGGTGGCCAAAGGGAAAACCCAGGACCTCCTGAGACTCTGGGTGGAGGCGGCTTGATCCCAGCCCCAGGTGCCAGCTGATGCCAGCCTGTCCACTTGACAGAAAAACACACGCTGGCCGCCTGCCCCGGGGTATTTCCAGAAGAGAAATTTAATCTAATTTACATACTTCTAGGTACATTGATAACCAAAATGTGGCCACTGAAAAAAGTTAAAAGATTGATCAGCTCCCAGTTTCTAGCTGGCCCAGGATCGCAAAATAAAAAGATCCACGTTCCTTATTCTCTACACAAAATGCGTTTTTAAAAAAGTGAAAGGTCTAAGGAGCTGTACATAGAAAGGAACAGTGAAAAGAGGGAGGGGATAGGAGTGGGGAGGAAAGTCCCACCCCACCCCTTCCAGGGCCCAGAGCCCCCAGAGGTTCTGGGGGGCCTGGACATGACAGGAGGCAGCTGTCAGCTCTGAGTTCTTCCCAGCTGGGAAGGCCCCTCTGGGGGAGGGGGGCGGCCAACAAGGATTTCAGTGGCATTGTGGGCTCAGTGGGGGCTCCCAGGCCTCAGTGGGCCAGCAGAGGGAGCATACTTTCCCCTGAGCAAGCACCGTGGTATGATGTGTTCGTTTGACTTGGGAACTGGGGGGCTGGGGCAGATCTGGGGACTCACAAGGTGTGTGCGTGCTTGCGTGTGTGTGTGTGTGTGTGTGTGTGTGTGTTCACATGTGTGTGAGAGGATATTCACGGGGCAAGAGGGAACCAGTACAGGGGGTCTTTGGGGTCCTTGTAAATGGCCACAGATGGCAAACAAAGCCCCACCTAGCTGCTAGACATTGGGGAGTGCTGGGCTTCCTCCCATGACCAGATCACCTGCCACCAGGGACCTGGCCTCTGCCCTGACTGGATTGGGTAGGTGTGGCCTGAAGGAACACACCCTGGGTTTGGCCCCAGAGTCCTTGAGCTGGGGGAGGGGCGCCCTGGCTGTAGTGTGCCTGGCCCCCAAGGGTGCCGGTTTGAGGTTTTGGCTTGCTCCTTTGGGAACGGAAAAGAAAGAAGGAGGAGAGAGAGGAGGAGACCAAGGAGTAGGAGACAGAGGTGGCAGGAGAGAGATCTGGAATGCTTTTGTGTTAGGGTGCCTCTGCCGCCGCTGTCTGTGCTGGAGGGGCCTGGGGCTCCTCAGGTGGGGGGTTTGCTTTGGAGAAATTCATCTCCAGAATGTGCCGCTGTAAGTGCCGCACCCACTCCTCCTGGATGGAAAGAGGTCCCTGGAATTCCACCTCACAGAACCTGCACTTGAGGGTATAGATGTTGCCGACGAACTTAACCAGTGATGTCTGGGGGGGACGAGGCACCAAGGAGGGGACTGGCCGGACCCGGGGTGGGGGTTGCCGCACCTCCTCCAGCTTCTGCTGCAGGTCATTGGCCTCCTCGCCCCCCCTGGCCGCAGAGGTATCTGCAGGGCGGGCTTGTCGGCGCTCAAATTCTGAAGAATGGGGAGGAGAGGGATGGGAGGTAAGCTGGAGGATGAGGACCCTGGGGAGGTTCCTCCTTCAGCAAGTGATGAGCGATTACTGTGGGGATTTGTAAGACGGGCAGCTGGTGCCTGGATGCTGCCCGGCCCTGGTGACAGGTGGGATGGCGGATGGATAAATGAATGGGTGAGCAACTGAGGAAGTGACTCCAAGACAGATGCACAGCTGAAAACCTGGGGGAACAGTGATGGACCCCGCTGGTGTCCATCGCCCTCACGACCCTCTGCCCCCAACACTCACTGTTGATGTTCTGCCGCTGGTGCTCCTCGGCTTTCACAGTGCCTGGTGGGCTGGCTGCCAAAGGCCGCTCACCACTGTCGGCTGCCCGGCCAGCCTCTGGCCCTGGCTCACCCCCAGCACTGCGGCCCACCACGGACAGGCCCCCAGGTGCCAGCCCCAGGTGTGGCCGCTTGTCGCTCTCGCGGCCATGGCCAGCGTTTCGGAACTTCTTGGTGAAGGGGCGGCCACCCTGGATGTAGCTGCGGTAGGCGCCCACCTTCTGGGGCCGGTGCTTGATCCACTCGCTCAGCGTCTCAATGGGTGAGCCATTCACGCACCACTCAGTCACACCGAACTGCCGCAGATGCGCCCGAGCATGGCTGGCCAGGGCCTTGCGGTTTTCGAAGTAAAGGCCACACAGCTCACAGCAGGCCTCGGTGGCTGCAGACAGAGGGGGCGCTGCTGAGCCCCAGAACCAAGGGAGCAAGGGTACCCAGAAGTTGCCGCCCAGGTCGGGAGACAGCCCCGCCTCCCACTGGGGCCTTGACCCCTGCTGGGGGTGGGCATGCGTGTGGCAGTGCCCGGCCATGCAGGCCCTGGCAGATGCCCTCCCAAGACCCTGCCACCCACTGCTTACAGGAGTGGGAGGTCTTCTCGTGAAGGGTCTTTGCCTTGAAGGGCAGTTCAGTCTGGATGTAGGTCTTGGCCTTGACCTCTGCAGAGAGGAAGCGATCCTCCTGCAGGGGTCGCTTGGCTGCCACTGAGCCCAGGTAGCTGGTGGCTGAGGGCTTGGCACCGGTGATGGGTGCCAGGTTGAGCTCACGGGGTACCTGGGCCAGCCCAGCTCCTGGTTTGCCTGGCCGGCCAGCCATTGGCACCAGCGGCAGGAGGGGCTGCACAGACCCAGGAACCGCTGTAGGGGGCCCATCCTCAACCAAGGCAGGGGCCAGGTCTCCAGCTGGAGGCTCCTTCTTGATGAGGCACGGCTTAGACTTCTTCTTAAGGATCTCCCGAAGCGTGTCGATGGGTGAGCCATTGACGGACCACTCAGTCACACCCA